AATCTATTTACTTGATTAAAATCAGTCAAGATGTGACTCGTGAAGCTCGAGCTGAAGCTGGACGCTTGTACAATTACACTAAAAGAGCTTCGACTGGATAAAACACTCTAAACTCTCAATCAGACGTCAGAAGGCGTGGAATAGATTGTGTGCGACGGCAGCGTTGGATTGTTTAGAGGCCTTGGAAATTTGCTTTATATGCTTAAATGCTATTTGAAAACTGTCAATATGTTTAACCGGTTTGATGCTACTGCTCATCTTGTTTTGTGTAGCAGGTGTGTCATGCATTGCTTTTTCACTCTCATATACCATTCTCACATGTATGAAGTTGAACTTAAAGCTCGTTCGGTAGAGTTTCTCTATCAAACTGCTGAAACTATCAGTTTATGACGTGCATCTCTCTGGATTGATTCCCTCCTTGCCATTTGTGACCGTTACCACGGCAACCACTAGCCTCCCCTAGAGATATATACGTAGTGATGAATTCAGCTCTGATTTTGCCTTTTGCATGTACATTACGTACTGTACACCTGTAGCTCTTACTATGGTAAATATCTTTCCAGTACTTTATTGTTGGTGAAAAATATATTGAATGCCCTTTAGACAAAAATATATTCCGTACCTTTAGATATTCTCCGAAAATGAAGATTTTAACATTTAACATTTCTGATTATTTTCAGATTTGTCTCGTCTATTTTAGAGGACATTTGATATGTGCCTGTGTTTGAGACGACAAAAGCAGGGTATCCTCTCTATATTAACACTCCTGCATCTTTTTTTAGATCACATGCTATTGATGTTCTGCTGTTTCTGGCAACCTGGTGCTCGTCTTTCCTTTCACAGGCATCGTGATTTTGATGTCGTGTTAGAAAATATTTGACATTCACGTTTCCCTATAGAAATGACAGATATACGATTTTGATAATAACTATATGAGCACAGCCGTGACCCCATCATGAAGCCTTTTAAAGAAGGTAAAGCCCTGAAAGACCTCTCTCTGACAGAGAACAGATCGCTTTCAACTCGCTGCATAGATTCTACACCCACTGCTCACTTTCACCGGTGCCATTAAATATTCAGCATTTCCAAATGCGATTATCATAAATTGTGAGTTTTTGTTTAGTGAACTGCTCTCAGCATTAAACACGATATACAATACAACCCCTCAAAATAATGCTGGGTTATATTTAACCCAGCATTTTTTAGAGTGTACAATATACGATTATAATGATAATGCAGTTTTTGTGTAATACATTTCGCAATACGTTTGTGGTTTTTGTGTGCATGTGCAAAATTAGTGTATAGTACTACAGCTGCATGATTAATCAAAATAAAACCAAAATCACAATATGGCTTAGTACGACTATCAAAATGCATATGATTTAATTTGCGTGTTTCACAGTGAAGTGCGGCACTGTGTTCATTTATACGCTTTAGGGGCTACCTGTGGTTTTCCATCGAAATAAAAGCTTGATGGTTTAACTCTGAAAATGAAGAAATTAAGACAGGCATAAATATTAGTATTGCAATTTAAAATAATCTTAAATATTCTTTTTTATTTTACAGTGAAATATTACGACAGTAGATACTGGTTTGATTTATTCAGGCCATACAGACTAGTCTCAGCTTAAAGATAATTAATAGAGGTATGTTTGTTCCCACCAATCTTTGCACAATTTCATCTGCCTGTCTTTCCATTTGTCTATAATGCACAACATAGTACAGTCAGTGCATGTCAATAAAGTCGCAGAACAATCTCAATGATATTCGAGTTTTAAATTAGACCAACGTATGAATGTTTCCGAGCACTTAAAAGTAGAAATGTAACTTTTACTACGACAAAACAATGTAAGTTTCCCTGCGAGACGCAAACACGCAGCGGATACGTTTCCTGTTTCTCCTACAGGCGCTTTGTTGAGGCAGCGGGCGGACTGTACCATTCGTCTGTAGGGGAACCCTAAGTTTACGTGTTGATGAAAATACAATTATTTTTCTTAAATATTCTTTTTTATTTTACAGTGAAATATTACAACAGTACTATTTATTTTGTTTAGTGATTTAATAATTTTTACATTTTTATTTAATTTAATAATTATATTAATCAAAATAATAATTAGTATTATTTTATAGGCATATTGATAAAATCAAAAAATTTTCCAAATTGTGCAGGCGTAGTCCAATAGTAATATTTCTTGTTTTGTTTTTATTTAGTAATTCTAATATTTTATTTATTTATTTATATTTTAGAACTTAAAGTTAAACTAAACGAAAATCAGAATTTCAGTATATTTATATTTTTAGTTATCATTTTAATTTTAGTTTAAGTTTAGGGGATTTTTAATGTGCTTTTGTCATTTTTTATATTTCTATTTAGCTTAAATTTATTTTTATTTCAGTAATTT